GGAAGCGTAGTGCTGAGCAAAAGACTCTCCGCCTTTCTGCAATTTATAGTTTAGTTTGGGAGAGAGACTTTAATCTCAAATAGTAACCACGCAAATTAGTATCCAGTTACAGCAATGAACAATTTGTGGCAAGTGCACTGAAAGAGAGGTAGGAGGTGCACTAGGTAGAAGGAGAAGTAAAAATGTATCATGAGTACTGACCTATACTAGTGGGTGTGGGGAGGTCTTGAGGAAATGGCACATATGTAAGACTCTCAAATTTGAATAGGTGGCAGCTACATCAAGAGATCAGGAGGGATTAGGTAAAGGTCTTGCGCAGGCTCTTTTCATTTGGTGGGATGGGGCAGGCATTGCTGGAAAAATCAAAAAGGGGCAGTGCAGTTGGAGCAGAGAGCGCAAAGGGAGAGAGGTAATGGATGAGACTGGAGAGGACACAGGTAGTTAAGAACCACTTTGAGGAATCCCAGCCACCATCCGAAGAGCAATGGAAAGCCATTTAAGGGTGTTTAGCAGTGGGGTGACATGATCAGATATATAAGCCTCTTGAAAAGACCACTCTGGCTGCTTTGTAGGGATATGGTTGGAGTGGGGAAAGTGGGTTTAGGAGGCTACTGCAGAAACCTGGGCTAATAATGATTGTAATTTGAGTTAGTTTTATATAACTTGCTTGGAGTTGAAGAGAGATGTAAAGATTTGAGAAAGTGTAATTTAGTTATTTGCTAAATTATTTGAATGAACAACTTCAAGCTGAACTGTTTTTACATAGTGGGTTTTTTTTTAAACCATTACTAGTACCATAAAATATTGAGAGTTGGAAGAGATACTAGATTCTTGAGTGTATAATTCTGGTAAAGAAAGATACAACCTGCTAAAATTTGCACAACTACAACCTCCCTTTTCCATGCATCTAGAGTAGAAATAATGAGAAAGATAAGATACTATTTAATACACCAAATTCACAGTGTATTAGTTACATTGCATATATTAACTAACTTAACTATCATAGCAAACCTGTCAGGTAGGTGCTATTATTACACACACATATTAAAGATGAGAAACAGGTAAGACACAAAGTTTAATGGACCAATTTCTGACAAATAATAAATGGTAGTAGAGCTGGGGTTTGTACTCGGGTGGTTTGTCTTCATGTTCACACAGCCAAACACAGTGGCACACTATGACACTAGGGCGAATCCAGCCCATGGCTATTTTTTGTACAAACAGCCAGAAAACTGAAAAAGAAAACAAACAGTTTTAAAGGGTTTGAAAGAAGAAGAAAGGAAAAAAAGAATTGCGACAGAAAGTGTATGTGGCTAACAAAGCCTAAAATATTTACGATTCGTTCTTTGCAGCAAGGGTTTCCTGCCCCTGTACTTGCTGGCCATTTTAAGGAAACGTGCTTCAGTAAAGTTGAGAGCTACTGATCTTTACAGATGAAGGCCATGTCTGGTTGTAAAATGAGTGAGTTGCAGACTGAGAACAGTGTACTCAGAGTTCCTGTGGTAGAATGATTTTTCTTGATATTTGCAAATTTATAATTAAGGACTGGTTTGACTCTGTGTAGAGAATGTTTCTTGGGAAGATAGGAAATTTATTCCTCAGTGGCAGGACCCAAGGCAGCTGGGCTAGGGCTGAGTTACTTAATGTAATCCCTGTCATTAAGACTGAGTTCCAGATGGTTTTTATGTGCCAATTTAGCATTTAGCAGGATAAATGAGCAGAAAAACTTCCTGTTTTAAATCCATCATTTGTCTTCAAACGAAAAGTTAGATCAGCACCATCGACTGATAAATTCTGCTCTTATATCAACAAATATTTGAAGAAAAAATAATGAATTTAACAGTGCATTTTCCTACCACATCTGTGAGTGCATTCATGAAAGACATAGCATGTTTTGACCTTTCTTAATAAATTAACTTATTGACTTTTGGAAAAGTTCATCTGAATTTTTGTAGAGAGCTAAATAGTTAGCCATTTCAATATTTATTAAATTTTACTATACTGATAGACATTTTGTGGGACTTTGTAAAGATGATCACAGAAGTGTCTTTTTTTGTTGTTTTCTATGACATGATTTTCTTGGGTAAGTGTTTGTTCTAATCTACCACACTCTAGATGCATTGCATGTTTCTTTTTTGTGCAAACTGTATTAATCTCTTGTCTAATAGAATCAGACAGTGGCTGTGGAGGTTGCATTGGGCCACAGGTGAACTTCCGTTTGCTAACCACTGTAGATTGGTGCTGGTGGTGTTTGATGGGTGCCTGTTGTTCAACCATTCCCCTGTCATCTCACTTTGTCATTTCAGTTGAGCTGGATGCACTAGATAAGGTACTAATCATAACTGTTTAAATTATAACTTCGTTTGTTTAGAAGATTGCTGTTTTCTATCTATGGCATCTTCCCTTGGGTGATTTAGACTGTTGAAGTTTCATTTTGAATATTTTTTGTCATTTTTCTGGTTGGAAGATAAGGGATTGTGCATAAAGTTGAACTTCTTTTTTTAATTATAGGAATTTCTAAACATGCAAAAGGAATCTAATTTTTATAGTTATTATACATGGCCAGTCTTATTTAATATTTGCCTTCCCCTCCTCCTTCATTGCCTTATATCTAACCCCTCATAAATTGTAAACAAATCACAAACCCTTTAGCCTGTCATTATGAAAATACTTTAGTATCTGTCTCTAAATCATAAGGACTCTTTAAAAAACAATGTCATTACCATGTTAAAAAATTATTAATTTCTTAATATCAACAAATTTCCAATTAGTGTTCAGATAGCTTGATTTTCTCCTAAATGTCCTGTTTTGCCATTAGTTTTTCAAATCGAGATCCAACTGGAGGTCATGATTTACCTTTGGTTGAATTATTTCTTAATTCTGTTAATATAGTGTAACACTTTTCGTTCCTTTTTTCTTATTTGCCATTGATTCTATGGGTCAGTTGCCATTCCTTTTCATTTTAGGTAAGTTTGTAGTGTACATTTTAGTGAAATCTAAAGTACGTATCAAATGTAGGTTAAATATTTGATAAGAGCACTTCATAAATGGTGAGCAAGCTGGACCCTTGAGTTGGTCGGAGAGAGCTCGTGGGTGGTGCTTGTCAGCGTTTTCTTCTTCTTTGTTCCCCAGTTGAGTAGGATTTATTTCTCATTACAGAAATGATGCTGGTTAGCAGATGAGAGGAAAAAGGTGTTTATATAAGTACAATGTTACTAAACATACCTTCATTTAACAAAATTGTTTAGATTGCCAGACTACACATTTTTAGTTCCACCTTCTGAGTCATTGGATTGGGTCATGTATATGTCTGCCCGAGGGTTTGGCCAACATTACTTTTCCTATTAAGGATGATGAAATCCTTGCTGTTAATTTTATACTGGAAATGGTCAGCATAAAGTCTATCCACTTAAAATATAAACTCGTAGCTAATTCTTATGATTTATGTAGAAAAAAATAAGAAATCTACCTTTAAGTGGTCATTATATTACAGAGAAAAAAATACTTTATAAAGCATGGTTTTTAAGTTTATAAATACAATCTGACATTCACTATTTTGAATTTTTTTGTGAGTGGTAACACATCAGGTTTTCTTAATTGTTAACCCCTATTAACCAATTACAAATAAAATTTTTTAAATAATAAAGAATAGTTAATTGAAAAAAGTACTTTTAAAATATACTTACTTGGGGTCTGACAACTTTATGAAAATGACTTAATTTTCCTTGAATATTTTTCATAATGGTGAATATTATGCAAGAAATCCCTCTTAACAGAAAAAAATCTAAGAGTGTTGTTTATCTTCATGGAAATGTTTTCATTTTCTGGGTTGACTAATGAGTGTTTGAATTTATTACTTCTCTATGTGTACTGCACATATTTATGTTTTGTAGTTTTAATTATTTTCAAATTTTGATGATTACTTTGGATTATTTGAAATTGTTTTTAATTGATTCCTATAATCCATTAATGCTATATTCAATGATTGGCTATTGCTTAGGGGACATTTAAGACCTTCTGGATTCTTTTTTCTTATTTACAACTGGCAAATGAGAATCAAATCATGTAGCTTAGTGCCAGTGTCTAGAATATTAAAAAAAAAATGTTAGTTTTGCTTTCTTAGTCCACTGGTCCTACTGTATCCTCAGGTTAAAAAAGAAGTCCTAGCATCTTTGACATTTGTTGATGCAGTTGTTTCTTTTATGCAGTTTGTAACATGTCTTTTCCTCATAAATATCCTCTTTGATAGCTTCTATAGGTATTTTTAAAAGGCTCCTTAAACCTATTTATTTCTCTACTAAGAGGGAGTATTTTGTTGGTTTAAAATAATCCAGTAGAATAATATGGTGACCAAAAACTGTGTATTTACTAGGGCAGTGTGGATTTTGGTTCCTTTTATTCTTTACAAGTAAAAACAAAACACTGAAGTGATGCAAATGTTGTTTTTACAGACTTTTCTTATACAACAATTCATTGATAGGGAGAAAGAAATTAGGATTGTGTTTTTAAATACTTGTTTCCAATTTATCATAGTTTATTTTAAGAAAACTACGACCAGTCTCATGATTGGATCTTTTCTTTTGCACGTGTAATGTGCTCCCAGACCTCACCGATGTGTGTAATGCATCAGTGATTATTTACAGGTGGCAACGAGGCTGCTTGATCAGATAATATCTAGGAGAGACTATCTTTACAGATAAAAATGTTGTGTATTTTATGGAAGTGTTTCTTTTAGTTGAGAGCATGCTTTTCCAAAAACATAAAAGCATTTTCTTACCATAAAATGATTTTTTATTCAGTGGTTCATCATTTGGCAGTAGTATCACCAGGTTGAATTGCCTGTTTTTTCAGCAGCTCTTTGTTTATCCTTGTGTATATTAACAAACCAGAGTATTCCCATGAGTGCATGAGGTTTTGAATCACCATGGTGATTGTAAAGTGGGAGCATTTAACTTCTTTCGTGGGAAACCATCTTGCATTATTTCCTTCTGTCTTTGCAGATAAATTATTAGTCATAACTGTAGCAACAAAAGAAAGTGATGGATTCCATCGGTTTATGCAGTCAGCCAAATACTTCAATTATACTGTGAAGGTAAGGCATATCTTTAATTCATGAAGATATTAAAATATGTGCCTAAAGTACATTTTTATAACAGTAATAACAATAGCAACCCAATCTGCAATCCATAGAAGAAGGTGAATTTGATTACATAATTACTTTTACAAGTTATATATACTTGATCATTTTAAAGATACATTTTGGCCTCATTAATATGCTGCCACTCAGACAATATTTTCTTAAACTTGCTAATGCTTTGTATAAACATGTTTATAAAATAACAAAAATATATTTATGTGTTTTTATATTTATATTTCTTTCGGGGGGTCGCGTGTGAGCACAACATACCTGAGGTTTGGCAGGAACGTTTTTGTCTGCTGTGCTGTTACTTTGCTTACAGAGAAATGCAAACGTGACGAAGGAGGTGTCTTTCTGTCCCATTGGGGAGAATTGCTTTTCCTGTTTTTTATTTGTTTTAGAGGAGTTTGGAAACACAAAAATATAAAAAAGGTTTTAGAAGATATCTTTAGGGGAATACCTCATTGGTAAATGATCAGAAGAAACCTGAGGAATTTGGTGAGCTAGTAAAGTGAGCTGTGAAAGGCTTTTTTTTTTTTTTGCTTATTTATTTAATATAAATGAGGGCCTTTCAGCAAGGGTTTTTTTTCCCCCCACAAATAAGAGAAAATAGGGAGGAATCCCAGATAGGAAACCACACAAATTAACCCATTTACAGGAAAAAAAAAAAACTTACAAAGTGGAGGTGTAGGGGGCAGCTTTGCCTAGGAAAAAACTGAGCTGTTCTAGTATGTAATATAGAAAGAAGGTAGAATTTGCTACCACTGGAAGACTAGGTTAAGATAGAATACCTATTAAAGAGGCTGAACTTTGCTGGGAAAGAGAGCTAGTGTTAACAACTAGGTGTTTAATACAGGATAAATGAAAAATATGAATTTGTTAGGATAGAGGAGAAATACAATAGTATACACTGACAGGAAGCACAATGGGAGTAACAGAAAAATCAGGGTAAAATAATGCTGAAATCCAATGAGGGCAGTCTTTAGAGTTCAGACTGAGGAGAGCAAGGAGTGTCCTATGTGTGAGTCACTGTGTTAGGAACTTTATATATGGTATAGAGGTCTGTCTGGAAAAAGTCCAGCCTTTGTTAATATAATGAGAACGGTTTGCATGGCATGGATGTAAACCGGGCAGCCGAGGAGAGTGGACTGGAATGGGCATGTGTGAACAATGATGACTGTGCTGTACTAGTCAGTGGGGGTGGTAGACACCATTGAGTGAGTATGTGGACTGTGTGGCCATCACATCACAGTCATCACAAAATGACTGAGGTAGTAGAGCAATGAATCTGCATCAAATTTTGCATTAACCTTGAACATTCCTCCACGGAAACTATTTGAATGATTCAGAAGGCCACAGCTATAGGCAAGTGGTGATAGGCAGCTTCATTGCCACAACACGCCTGCTCATGCATCACACCTCATGCAGTTTTTTGGTGAAACATCAAATCACCCAGGTGACTCAGATCTGCTCCAGCACAGATTTTGCACTATTCTGTGATTTCTGAGTTTTCCCCAAACTAAAATTACCTTTGAAAGGGAAGAGATTTCAGACTGGTGATGAGATTCAGGAAGATATGGCCGGGCAGCTGAGGCCTGTGAGAGAACTGAGTGAGGTCCCAAGGTGCCTACTTTGAAGGAGACTGAGGCATCATTGTCCTATGTATAAAGTTTCTTGTACTTTCTTCAATAAATTTCTCTATTTTTCATATTATATGGCTGGATATCTTTTGGACAGACCTCATATATGGTATACTATTGATTCATTATATGAACTATTAAGATGCTGCTTTGTTTATCGGTGAGGAAAACTTGCCCCAGGGTACGGAGCTATAACATGAACTCTTGGACCCCAGTCCTATTGGACCACTTGGCATTTTTTATCCTCCTGCCACCTTCCCCTTATAAAATTCAGTGGCTCTCAAAATGCATCAGCATCATCTGGGAAATGGAAATGCAGATCCTCAGACCCCACCCCAGGCCTGCTGAATCACAGGCTCTGGGAGCAAGATGCGGCAGTCTTGTGTTTTAACAAGCCCTCCGTGTGATTCAGATACAAGCCCCAGTTTGGCACACTGATAGAAAAATGCAAGGAAAATGGAGAATCGAGCCTAGTATAGTGCACTGTACAGAAAGGCTCTCAGATGCCCTGGGCCCAGTATTACTGCAGTATTGGAGAAGTCCAGGAGTGTTGTGAAATGGAAGTGGAAGTGTAATAAATCCTAGGGCTAGAGGAGGCCACTTTTAGGGCAAAAGCTAGTATACCTACTGACTAGCCCCACTATGAATCCAGGTTCACATCAGTTTGACTTTCCATGCTTAGCCTTTTCTTCTACCCTTCATGAAGTGATACCTGGAGAGGTAGGCTTTGCCAGCCAGATTTCTGTTTGGTTCAGTGTTAAGTAAAAATTGAAACTAATAATTTATTTTCTAAGATTATTTTATCCATTTCTAATGATTTTTAGTTTCATTGTCGCTTAATTTTATAAATTTCCAAGTATATCATTATTTCGGGAACTTCAGACTTTCTTCTGATGAAACAGTTATTCAAGTTGTATGTTGGGTGTGGAGGACATATGCTTCCTGCTCCCTCACAGCAGGTGTGTCACCGTATACCTTTAACTCAGGTGGGAGATGCTGAGGTGAACGAAAGTAGACAGTGATAAGAACATCTCCAAGTTTAGTTCCAATTAATTGTGCTTAGGCAGTTTCTTGCATGGAATGAATTACTATGAAGCTTTTGAGGGTTGTGTATGAAGTAAAGAAGGTGATGTTTGACTTGCTGCTCCCTGTGTTTCCCTGAACAACCCATTTTGGTTCAGTAGGAAAATTGCTTAAGGCTCCATCAGGAGTCACTGAGCCTTCAGGGCTTTCAGTGTTCATCATACAGATTTGCCATCAGATTGGAAGTGTTATGGAAACTTTGTTCCTTTTCTTTTTAATCTGAACAAATAGAAGTAACATATGAGAAATACTTTCTGCAACTGCCTCTCCCCCCAGCCGTCTGCCAGATTAGACTCTACTTTTGAAATGGTAACATTGGAAACTGCATTTTATGGGGTGGATAATATTTAAAAATTATGACCTGACCTAGGTATCAAGTTGTCTTCTTTTTAGTGTTATGATTTAGTGAAATGTTTAAAGGTGGTTACTGTGTAATACTCTACAAGTTGCTGATGACTTCCAGTTTTTATGATACTGTCACTTGAATTTTGCTCAGGGATGAAATGTTGATTTTATTTATAGGTCCTTGGTCAAGGAGAAGAGTGGAGAGGAGGCGATGGAATTAATAGTATTGGAGGGGGCCAAAAAGTGAGATTAATGAAGGAAGTTATGGAACATTATGCCAATCAAGAGGATCTGGTTGTCTTGTTTACTGAATGGTAAGAGATAACCTGTGGCTTTTTAAATCTATATTTAATTATTTTTAAAAAGAGTTGAAATTCATATATGTAGGTTATATATTAAATTACATTATTCACAAGAAATCATTATTTTTAAAAGTAGTTTTACTCATAAACCACGTTCTGACATAGTAATATAATGTGATCAATTTTGATGAGTTATCATAACCACCAATGAGAAAACATGACATGAACTAATATATTTCTGAAATTAATTCTTTAATCTTGATTCAGAGATGGAGTAAAGATCATGTTGAGATTTCCTGTTGAGGAGAGTAACTCAGGATTCTGTTCAGCCAGGAGCAGATATATCATGTAAAGTTATAAGTGAGAAATATGAAAACCTGTATTTATTAAGAAAGATATATAAATATCTTTTATAGTGTATAAATATCTTTTTGTATACTACTCCACCTTACGTCTACTTAACTTTGAGTGTCTGCTGTCTTTCTTTACCTTCTGACATTTTTTTTAATCATTGTTCAAGTACAGTTTTCTCTCTTTTACTGACATGTTTTTAATAATGTCATGTTGTCATGAGTCACTAGTGGTTGCTGCCTTCTTCCATTTCTCTGCGTTTTTAATTCTATGTGCTGGTCATTGATTGCTCATTTGAAATCCCCTTGCATTTTCTTCTCTAATGTAGGAAAGTTTCCTTATATCTCTCCCTCAGTTTGAAAGTCTAAAACCATACATTATTGCAGATGAAAATAAGATTAATCCTTTTTATGCAAATTTGTAAATAATGAAGGCATAACTTTTCAAATGAAAATAGACTTAAATTCTTGGGGCCATCAACACTTAAAAAGTTTTGAAAATGTCCATATACTTGCATCTCTAAAATTTTCCTTATAAATCCTATGAGAAAAAAGTAAGTTCTGCTTATAGTTAGCTACTTATTCTTGCAAATATGAGTTGTGGTATAGCTGGTTAGCTGTGTATTGAGAATTTTTCTACAGGCTCTATTATTAAATATATTTTTACCCTTGCTAAAATAGTAGAAAGTTTATAAGAAGTGTTTAGATTAAATATTAAGTACATTTAGGTTTGAAATTACTATGGACTTCAGTCATTTTGGTCAGTTTGAATTTACCACATGTAGGTTTTAATTTTGACCTTGAGGCAGATTATCCTCGTAAAAGTTACCTGACGCATATTAGCCAGTGATGGTTTTAGGAAGAACTTTCCCTCTACCTTTATCCATGCCCTGTCCTAACACCCTCATCTAAGATTTAGCCTTGGAAGAAACTGGTTTAATAAGGAGGCAATTTGTTTCTAATGAGGAGAGAGAGAAACAGAGATATCTGAAGACTGCTTGAGGTTGCATTTGTGTATTTAAATGATACTTTAAGACTCAGCTTGATAAAAAAGACAGCGGTGAAATTTTAATGGTAGGCCAGTATGTGCCAGGCTCTGTTAGTGTTTGGTTCACTATATCAGTGAACCAAACAGACAAAATTTCTGACAACTCCCTCTGAGAGAACAGTCAGCTAACTGAAAACATGCAGCCTAACCTCTGCCAAGCCTTTTCCTTAGACGAATCATTAACCTTTTCTTTATCACCCATCTTGTCTGTCCTGGAAAAACCTAGTGATAACGAGAAAGTAACCAAGGAAAAGAGGGTTGGACAACTGGTGCCACTTTAGAACTTTATTCCCCCCCCTCTTTTTATTTAAACAACACCCTTTTTAACAAGTATCATGTGCAGAGTGTTCAATACAATTGAAAATTATAGAGATATGAATTAGGTTGTTTGTAAATTATTCGAAATAGGATACCCATCTATCAGAATTCTATACAGAATTGCTAATCTCCTAATTAAGTTTACATCTGGTTAAGGTTAGAATTCAGAATATATAAATTTTAATAAGTCAAACAAATTCCTATTTCTTAAGTGATTTTTTAGGGACCAGTCAACTGTAATAGTTTTAGGGAAGCATGGGTTCTCAGTATATAGAAAAATACAAAAATTTATATACTGAATGGCTTTCATAGGCTTCTTTAAAATAACTTTATTGAGGTATAATTTATATATCATGATATACACTTAAGTGTTAAATTTAATAATTTTTAGTAAATTTACAGAGTTGTGCAATTATCATCAGTATTCAATTTTTAAATATTTCCAGTACCCCAGAATGATCCCTCTAACTCATTTACATAGGATTTTGTAATTAATTTGAACACAATTTTATTTGTTAAAATACATATTTGTTTAGAATTATCTTCCAAAACATATATTTCTTTTACTGTAGTCACATTGATGACTGATTGACCTAATTATTATATAACAACAAAGCTTTTTTTTTTTTTTTAGAATCATGTGGGCCAATGTGTAACAAACAGTGTTTGACTAGTTGTGAGTAAACAGATGCATACTGAATGTCCCCACAAACTTATTCTGTGATGAGTACAGAAAAATATAAACTAGCAGAGTTCAGATCCTAAAATAAACATGTGGAATACACCTTTTGGGTATTAGATAAATGTCTAATAAAAACTTTGGTTATTGTGCCCTGGCTGGTGTAGCTCAGTGGATTGAGCACGGGCTATGAGCCAAATTGTTGCCATATTTCCTTTATGAAAACATCTACCCATTTGGGTATATAGACACTCCTGGTACATTTAGGTACATGTTTAAAGATGATTTAAACATGACTAAAATGATTTTGTAGTTTATAGCTATTGCTAACTAATGATAGCAGTAAGAAAGACCACTAGAATGTCACTTAAACTACAATGGTAGTCAATATTACAATAAAAAAGTTAATGTAGAATTAACATGATTATGAAATAAAACCACTATTAGAGTAGTTTTATAGTTGACCCTAGTTTGGGAGACTGATCTAGGATAAATAAATACTGGTTGAAAATCTTAGTCACACAAATCTTTGCTGTTAGTGTGTATGCCTTTTCACTTGGATCCATTATTACTAGCTTCTGTTCACTTATCAAATTGAATTATAATTGTATATTTCAGACAGTGAATCTGGGAGCTATATCTAAGCTGCATGTTGTCAGATTAATTATCAAGGAACCAGTAAATATTAGGTAACAGTAAATTGCATTAAAAGGGGGAGAAACAGAACTTTCAAGAGGGAGAAATAAGGTGGATGCTTTGAAACTGTTTTAAAAGATTGTTCTTCATTTATTTGGAGAATTGAAATGACTCACAAAAGCAGGAAAACATTGAAAATTTCTAAGTCTCAAAGACTAAAGTTATTTAAAAAATTGAATTTGTATTAGAAACTATGAAAATGGTGCTCTTGGTTCTGCTCTTTCTTATGTGAGCTGATGCTTGTTTCTTTTGGCTTCTAATTAAGTGCTACTTGGCTTGAGAAGTGAGACCAGGGAACAGATTTCTCACTTTGTATTTGGTGTGTGTGTCTTGAGCGCACACTGTGAACTAGGTGTTGAACCTAACACTACAGGAAATGAGGTAAACACAGATCCCACCCTCAAGGAATTCTCATAGTGTACTAATGTTGCAAACAAAACTGAACAAATGTAATTTAGAAGAAAGATGTATGCTTTCCAAAAATTTGAATATTGGCATAATCTCTTTTGAGTTACTTGTAGAATATTGTGAAAGATTATTGCATCATTTTTCTAATTGTGAAAATATTTTTATGATTTTGATATTGTCCTACTATAATTTATAGGTTAATTCTTTAGCTAATCAAATCCTATCTTATTTTATTCTAGGAAATAAACATTTTATGCCCTTCATAATTCAGATTACATACCCAGTATGCCTACATTTTATATTGTTTTACATTGTCTATACAAAAGGCAGAGTAAAAATGTTCTGAAAGCAGAGATTTTCAAGTATGATGGCTGTAATTTTAACAAACTGTGGCAGGTTTATTTGATGGACTCCTACATCCTGGCAGTAATGGCAATTTAAGTGTGCAGATTTAAAGAACCTAGTCACTGGTGATGGATAACATTTTGTTATATTAGGATGAAAGAAAGTCAAAACATATCAAAGTTCTCAATTTCTATACTGATTTTTTTTGAATGAAAGATTGAGTCATTAGCTGTCACTTAAATATATTGCACTGCCTTTTGGCTCATTCAGTATAGTGAAATATGCTTAGAAATTATATAGTAAATGAATGATGCCTCTTTTCAGATTGTACAAATGTTCTTGATAATTTTATTGAGTGTTAGTAGGTATGTTGAAATGAGGAAGAAACAGATTTTATGCCCAAGAAACACTGGTTGTTTCTGTATATGGAGATTGATATAGGGTACTCTTGTATGACATTAATTTGTCTATTTTATGTGTGTATGTATATATACATACATACATATGTATATATATTTTTTCCCTAAAACTAGATTGTTTACTCCATGAATTTAGTTTTTTGAGTAAACATGTATTAAGTATCTATTAAGTGTAAAATATGGGGGGCTGACTAAGATAGAAATCTTGCTCTCTGGATACATTTTTCTATCCATAGCTTTCTATATGAGCTATCTGGAATGCTTGGCTAGATCATAATATATTTGGGAGATTTAAAAAAGGTTTCTTGATTTCTTGACTCAATGAATACTTATTGTGCACTAAATATGTGTCAGATTTGAAAGTACTAATGTTGCAGAGATTAAATTTAACTATCATTTTAAAACTAAGGGGACATGTTCATTAATTAACCATCTATTAACCATTTATTTATAAAGAGGCCAACCCAGCAACAGGGGACATGACTCACAGCCCTCAGGTAGCCAGCGGGGCTGCAGTTTGCTGTCTGCCCACCCTTCTCTCCTTGGCTGCCGCTCTGCTGGCTGTCACGCCAACACTAGGCCACTCTCAGAAAACAGTCTGCAGGAAATGGCCCTCCAACTAGACCCTGTCCTCCTAAACTTCTACCTGTTCTCGGCCCCTGTAAGGCTTCTGTATTCAAGAAACAAGATTATATTCCATTTGGAGGAAAATCCTCCCAGTAGTATTTCATTTTAAAAATAGTTGCTGT